CGAACATGGTTAGCACATTGTGGCCTAGTTCGTTGTTAATATTGTCATGTGTTGTTTTTTTCTTTTTTTTTTATTATTATGACTTCCATTATTTTTAATCTTTTTTTAACAAGTGGATGAATTTATTATGTTTGTGTTTTCTACTAGTATGTTTGAAATGGAATCTGGTAGGTTTGTGTGTGTGTTTAAATGGGTTCTAACAGAGCTCTAGTCAGAAAGGTGTAACGAAAGGCATCGGTCACACAACTACATGCTTATCCAGATGTTTTACGTTGCATAAATATATATATTTATATATATATATGAGATTTATGATCCAGTGTTCTTAGCATTTGTGTTTATTTAAAAAAAGAACAGTGCTCGATACAAAAGTAGATTATAATATTATAGTTATTTTTTAATAATATGTTTCCATCGCGATGCAGATATTTCTATCTTTCAAAACTAAAACTACAATCCCAAGTTTAAGTATAAAATTTAAACTTGAAATCAAGAGTTTAGTTCCATTGTCAAGCGATGATGAGAATAACTTTCTAAGAAATTGATTTACATTATTTATAAGCGTAGATAATCTTATTAATTTGAGTTGTTAGGTTTAAGGAAAATTCAATTTATTTTAATTAGGGTTGGTTGGATTTTAACTTTTTAAGACAACTCATGTGTCCAGTGTATGGGGATTCCAAAGTCAGTTAAGTTTAGGTGGGAGTTATGGGGTTTGTTCATTGACAGAGACCTCCTTTTTCAAGCAGTCTTCTTGATACTGTCTAGGTTTTCAGCACATCGTCTGGGTTTCAATGACAATATATTTGGCATTTTCATTTCTTTATTTAATTTTTATTTTTATAAATATAGAGAAAAATTTTCTTAAAGGGTCATTTAAATATGATTAAATCATGTTTTTAATATTTAATTTTTTTTCCTACGTATTTAAAGTACTATATTCATTTTATTTACTAATAGAGTAAATATGAGATTATAAAATTAATATATTAGAATTTAATTATAAATATGCGTACAAAGAATAAATAAAAAAACAATGGAAACAACATCAGACTTCTTTCAATAATAATAAATATCGCAACCAGACATCCCTATCTAAATATATTTGGCACTTAAAAGAAATCAATAAAATACTAACAGTTTGATGGAAATTAATAAAAAAAAGTAAAGAAAATATTTAAATGACCCATGCCCTTTGTGCATACATGAAAAATTATACATCATTAAACTTCTGGAATATAAAATAATATTAAATCAAAGAAATGAAATACTAGTTTTCTGTAGACACTGTCAAATATTTTCTTAAATAATAATTAATTAAAAAAAAATTAAAAATGTGGAAACACGCATATTTATATGTCGATTGTCTGCATGATCCCAGATCCGAGACAGGCAGAGAATTAGTTCAATCAGAACTGTCTTACAAAACTACAACAATTGATACCTAGATACTACAAAAGACTTGATTATGATCTGTGTCAAAGAACATGAAAGTAGTAAGAGACTTTATTCAGTATAAAGGAAGCCAACAACTTCAAAATGGAGATTCAAATGGGTGAATAAAAAGTAAAAGTAAAGTACAATACACCGACTGAAGAGGAAAAATATTTCAAAAAGAAAGCAAAAGCAAATGCAAAAGACGAGATACAGAAATTATGGCAAGAGAAACCGCTTCTCGCTCAATACCCTGTCCTTACCAAACAAGCTGATGTAGACAAACCGCGTACCCATCAGTGGCTACGTAGTGCGGGGTTAAAAGCTGAAACAGGAGGTTTTATTCTTGCTGCACAGGATCAGTGCTTCTTAACTATAAATTATCAAGCACACATATTGAAAAATAGTGTTAGCCCAAAGTGCAGGTTCTGTGATAAATATATAGAAATAATTGTTAATTTTAACAGGTTTCACGGTATTGGCACCCACTGAATATAAAACCCCAGATGACAGAGTTAACCAATACCTGCACTGGAAAATCTGCAGCTTCTCCCGAAAAGAAACTGAAAGAATTTGGTATGAACACCACAGAGATAGAACCTGTAACAATTTTATGGGACTTCGCAATACACACAGACAGAACAAACAAAGATACTCCCCCAGACATTGTTATTAGAGAGAGCAAACGAAAAGAAATAGACTCCTTATTGATATGGCAGCCCCTTCAGACTGCAATGTATCTTTGAAGATCTTCAAAAAGCTATCAAAATACAAGGACCTTGAAATCGAAATCACAAAAAATGAGAACATCAACAATCTCTATTATAGTTGGGGCCTTCAAATTGTTTGGAAAAAATTCCAATAGACTCTTTGAATAGATTCCTGGCAGCCTATGCCTTAAAGAAATATAAAAAAAATTGTTCTCGCGAATACAGGCCACACCTTACAAAGGGCGTTATTTATGTAAAATATATATGATATTTTTTTGTATATTTATATTTTTTAATTGCTCAGTGAAAAATATCTTGATGCCATTTCTGACCTTAGTTCTCTGGTCGGGGCCCAGAAAGATATGTGTACACACTAATAATCAAAGGAAATAAAATAATAATAATTCTCTGATTTTTCTACTAACCATGTTTCTGATGCCATCTGTTCTTGAATTTTAGGGGTA